GTCAGTGGGGATGTCAGTGGCAGTTAGTCAGTTCCCACCCAGTGTCAGAATGCCCACCGCAGTCCCACAGTCTCGCTATAAGTTGCTGATTAATACCATTACTAGTATAAATAAATACAAATTCCAGTAGATATACCGCCATTTGTAGATGCTATAACTTTAATGTAAACCAATTAAATTACACGTATTGGGATTTTCTTTTAGCAAAGACATGTAGTAGGATACATTTTTGCCTAAATTTATGATGAAATTTGATTTTTGAACTTTTTTTTATTGGATATGTTTTATAGCAAAAAGTAAAAAATAGGGTTTTTTTTTTCAAAATTGTCGGGTTTTTTTTTTGTGAAGGGTTAGATCCCTTGTCAGTTTTTACGGTAGCCTAAGGCTTCATGAACACTTGCATGTTTTTTTAAGCTCAAAAAAGACTGGAAAAAAAAACCACTGGTAATAGCATTTTTCAGTAGTGTTTAGAAGCATTTAGGAGCATTAGCGTTTTATTATCTTTTTTACAGTACTTGTGTGGAAAAAAAAAACATGAACAAGTAGTTACTATGCCCAGAGATAATCCCCATAGAGGTGAAATGTCGGTGCTCTGGCTCTATGTGTCTTTCCAGCACAGATGCAACTGAATGATGAGGATTGTTATAGCAGCCACATGACTATGACTAATGCAGGCCATAGATGGGTCGAAAAATCGGCCGATTTTTTCGGCCGAAAATAAAATCGGCCGATTTTCGGATCGTTAGTGGGCGATTTGGTCGGCCGTTTTTCGGTATTTTGGCCGTTTTTTTTTTTCGCTAAAGTTGGAAAAAAATCGGCCGATTTTGCCGATCGGGCCGATTTTCGCGGCAATTAGTGGGCAAATAGGCCGATTTTTTACCGATAAAAAATCTGCGCATGAGCAGTGACCTGCAAGGAAGACAAAAAGAAGAAAAAGAAGAAGAGGAAGACGATGAAGAAGAGGATGAAGAAGAAGAAGAGGAAGAAGAAGAGGATGAAGAAGAAGAAGATGAAGAAGAAGAAGAGGATGAGGATTGAAGAAGAAGAGGATGAGGATGATGAAGAAGAAGAGGATGAGGAAGAAGAAGAGGATGAGGAAGAAGAAGAGGATGAGGATGTGAAGAAGAGGATGTCAGATGAAGAAGAAGATAAGAAGATTAGCGATTGACGATGAAGAAGAAGAAGAGGATGAGGATGAAGAAGAGGATTTTGAAGAAGAAGAGGATGAGGATGATGAAGAAAAGAATAGGATGAGGATGCAGAAGAAGAAGAGGATGGATATGAAGAAGAAGAGGATGAGGATTGAGGATGAGAAGAAGAAGAAGAAGAAAAGAGGATGAAGAAGCCAGTTGTCTCTGCAGAGAGCTCCGCTATTTCTGCAGTTCCTTGAACATACAGCGGTTGAAACATTGTATTTTCCGAATAAAAACATCTGTATCCTAAATGGAAACAAATAGATACATTGTTGCAACTTCTATAAATGTCAAGGAACTGTCAGAGAACTGTCAAGAAATAGCAGAGCTTCTGCAGGGACATTTTTGCCGGACCAAATGGTAACGTCGGCCACTTGAAAAAAAAAAATGAAAAAGTAGTTTTTCTCCCCACTATGGCCTGCATAATGCAGGCCATAGATGGGGAGAAAAATGGCAGATTTTCCCCGATTAACGAGGTGGTCTAAATGTTATTACGGTGCTTAATGAGTAACTATAACGGGAAATGATGTCATTTTGTGGCCTATGTGATCTTTTTCGGAAAAACGATCGTTCGTTTTTGACCATCAATGAGGATAAAAGTCGGGCGTTTTTCGAAAATTTTCCAACACACCGATAATCTGAAAGTCCAAAATACACGAAAAACGGACAAAATCGTGTAAGATAATCAGCAGCCGAAAAATCGGCCGTTTTTCTCCCCATCTATGGCTGCATAAGGCTTATTGCCGAAATGCGCAAGCCATTTTATATCTTCATTTTACTCACTCAATAAAGTTTATTATTCAGGAAGATGAGTTCCGACAATACCTATCTTCATCATTCAGAAAAGAAAAAAGATAGAAAAAAGCTGTTTAGGAGAGTTTAGCATTTTTTTCTGCTGGAAAAACAGTCAAAAAACACTCTAGAAAAACGATTTTTTTTTCTGCTCCTAGATGCTGAAGGTCAAAAAATGCTAATAGCCTAAAGTAGTGTGCATGGACATACAGGAAAACACTATTTAGTTTTTAGGAGCAGAAAAAAATTCGAACAGTTTCTAGGAACTTATAAAAATGCTAGTGTGCATGGAGCCTGATAGTATCTTCAAATAAAAATATGGAAAACACTGCAGAAAAGGTAAACAGCTCACAGCAATGCCTTTGTTGTCACTGGGACAGGAATTGAATGTATCTGTCCCTAGAAATGACACTAATATAGCTATAACCACTGTAGTCAAGACACTGGGGTGTAAAGAATCCATTTCCTCTGCATGCTATCAAAACTTTCCAAAATGTAAAATAGAATGTGAAAAAAAACACTTTACCACTAAAGCAACAAACTCTTCTAATTAAAATATATATATAGACTGCTGGAAAAACATGGTCAAGAAAAGCAAAACTAAACAAATGTTGATTTTAAGATGATATTCTTATTAATAATGTTACAAACCAGACAAACTATATTACTTTACATGCATGCCTCAGTGTACACTCAAAAGAAAATTGCTAGTAGATTAGGCAAAGTGTTTATACAGAGGATACATACAGAGTCTCTTTTGCAAAAAAAAAAAAATCCTTTCTGCTAGCACTTAAGAACACTGTTCTACGTTAAAATGCTGAAAGTGGACTAAACGTTGAAACAAAATCTTTTAAAAATGTTTTCATTTTTTTATATACTATAATTGTATCTGACAATTACAGTATTGAACAAAAGCATACCACCATCTTCAAGCTGTAGTGGGATCTGCAAGTTATAGAGGTTTATTTTGTGAATGAACTTCCAACCTACTTCAACCTGTTCAAATCAAATGAAGGTTCCGTTGGTCACAGAATAATATAAGTGGTGAAGTGCTCAACTTAAATACAAAAGTGCATATCCCCACCCTAGTGATATAATAATACACAAATGATACCTCTTAAGCTAAAAACTAGTGCAATATCCTCATATATATAATATATATCCCTGGTGAAACGTGGCGCAACACGTCGACGTAGGGGTGACGTACAGCCAGGACTATACACCCATAGCATATGGGAAACTGCTTCTCGGTTTTTGAGGACATGTGAGTGTAATGTTTCACTGTATCGTTTTTAGTCCATTAAACAGTGTTGCACTATGGAGGTCTGCTTTTGTTTTTCCATATGAATCGCTTTATGCTGAGTCCAGTGTGAGGGGTATTGGAGTATTACTACTGCCTGGAGGAGGATCAAGTGGAGGAGAATATTTTCTGGCAGAGTTCGTTGTGTGAGGGGAGTAATTGGAGTGGTACTTACTGCTTGGAGGAGGATCATGGTCGGTGGAGGCAGTGGAGGAGATTAACATCTGGCAGAGATATATATTATATAAAAAGCTCTGCGACCCGCAAGGGTCGAATGTGGAAGGTGAGGGGGCATTTTCTGCTATTGAGGGGAGTCACGTCAAGATTTCACGAAGAGCACTATTTCAGCATGGAGTGGCAATATTTGAACACTTTGTTATAATTTTTGCACAGTGTGGCATCACTATTTTTAATTAATTTTTTATTTTAAATTGATATAGTCAATTGCATTTCAGTAATCACTTTTTTGCACAGTTTAAGAGATATTAGTTTCACTATGCACAGGGATATATTAGAGGATATTGCACTAATTCATTATTATTTATTAGTATTATTTGTGTATAGCTTAAGAGGTATCATTTGTGTATTATTATATCACTAGGGATTTATTATATATGGGGATATGCACTAGTTTTTGAGTATTTAAGTTGAGCGCTTCACCACTTATATTATTTTGTTTCACTTATCTTACGGTATATAGAATAGGTGATAGCAGCTAACTCACTAGGTTCTGTGGAGCGCAGGGGGATTTCTGTATTTTTATTTCCGTTGGTCACAGACCTGGGAACATTAACCTACAACAAGATGACAGGCAGTTAAAGGATGGCAGTTATATTAGTGATAAGGTGCCTGAATGAGGGTAGTATACTTGCCATAAAGACACAAAGTAATGTGTTGAATCAGCGTAGGCATCTAATTCATTTGGTGTGAACAAGAATTACATATTAAAAATAACTTTGTTGTTTTTGGTATTTAGGATCAGCTACTGTGCTGTTTTTGACAATGCTCTTGCAATGGCATGCATATTCTTAAAAGCATGTCCAAAGATATAACTTTTTCCCTGTCAGAACTAAAAATTAAAGCAAAAAATAATTGTGAAACATTCTGCACCAAATGTTTTTTTAACCAGAGGCCCCTAAAGTGACTGTTGCTTTCTAAAAATTATACTTGTAAAAGAACACCATACATGGGACACCTGCCTTTACACACACATGAACTTTAATGGCATCCCATTCTTAGTCTGTAGGGTTCAATATTGAGTTGGCCCACCCTCTTGCAGCTAAAACAGCTTCAACTCTTCTGGGAAGGCTGTCCACAAGGTTTAGGAGTGTGCCTATGGGAATGTTTGACCATTCTTCCAGAAGTGCATTTGAGGTCAGGCACTGATGTCTGACGAGAAGGCCTGGTTCACAGTCTCCGCTCTAATTCATCATAAAGGTGTTCTATCGGGTTGAGGTCAGGACTCTGTGCAGGCCAATCAAGTTCCTCCACCCCAAGCTTGCTCATCCTTATCTTTATGGACTTTGCTTTGTGCACTGATGCGCAGTCATGTTGGAACAGGAAGGGGCCATCCCCAAACTGTTCCAACAAAGTTGGGAGCATGAAATTGTCCAAAATGTCTTGGTATCCTGCCGCCCTAAGAGTTACCTTTACTGGAACTAAGGGGCCAAGCCCAACCCCTGAAAAACAACCCCAAACCATAATCCCCTTCCACCAAACTTTACACTTGGCACAATGCAGTCAGGCAAGTACCGTTCTCCTGGCAACTGCCAAAACCAGACACGTCCATCAGATTACCAGACAGAGAAGCGTGATTCGTCACTCCAGAGAACACGTCTCCATGCTCTAGAGTCCAGTGACGGTGTGCTTTACACCACTGCATCTGATGCAGTTGCTCCCATTCCATGAAGCTCTCTACACACTGTTGTTGTTTTAATCTGAAGGCCACATGAAGTTTGGAGGTCTTTAGCTATTGACGCTGCAGACAGTTGGTGACTTCTGCACACTGTGAGCTTCAGCATGCGCTGACCCCGCTCTGTCATTTTACATGGCCTAACACTTTGTGTCTGAGTTGCTGTTGTTCCCAGTTGCTTCCACTTTGTTATAATGCCACTAACAGTTGACCGTGGAATATTTAGTAGCAAGTAAACTTCACGGATGGACTTATTGCACAGGTGGCAACCTATCATGGTATCTTGAATTCACTGAGCTCCTGAGAGCGACCCATTCTTTCACAAATGTTTGTAGAAGCAGTCTGCATGCCTAGGTGCTTGATTTTATACACCTGTGGCCATGGAGGTGATTGGAACACCTGAATCCAATGATATGAAGGAATGTCCCAATACGTTTGGCAATATAGTGTATTTTCAGGTGTGTTGGATGCCTGTTCGCCCCTTGCAGTTCCTACCACTTGCTCCTATGTAACTACTGTGGAACCACAGGAGGAGATGTACTAAAAGGGGATCATTCAAAATCTGCTGCAGCTGTGCATGGTAGCCAATCAGCTTGTAATCTCAATTTGTTCAATTAAGCTTTCTCAACAACACCAGGAAGCTGGTTGATTTCTATGCAGAAGTGCATCTGATTTTGCACTCTCCATCTTTAGTAAATAAACCCCACAGTTCTTAGCAGGTTACCAGACTCCCCAAACTTAGTGTGTTGATAATAGAAGGCAAATAGTCTCTCTATTTCAGAGATTCTCCCCTTAGTTTTTGTCTATATGACATAGACATTGGGGTTAATTTACTAACATGGAGAGTGCAAAATCTGGTGCATCTGTGCATGCTAGCCAATCAGCTTCTAACTTCAGCTTGTTCAAATAAAGTTTGACAAAAAAAATTGAAGCTGATTGGTTTCTATGCAGAGCTGCACCAGATTTTGCACTTTTCAGTTTTAGTAAATCAAACCCAAGATGTCTGAAAAAAACAGTAAGGAAAAGAAAGTCTCCCTACCTTTGTGTTTGGATTTTCCCATGCTTCCTATCCAGGTGACAGATCTTCTCCTTGTGGACAGAGCATTCCTCAAACCTGACAGATGTTCTCACCCTTCCGCTAAAAATAAAAATTGTGGCTGGAGTTGAGCTTTAAAAGACATCCCTTAACTTGTATAAGATTGTGAGACAGACTGTCTGCAAGAAAGATAAGAGTGATGAAAGTCCTCTCTAAATTTCATTTTCCGACATGCAGACTCTTTTCATCTTCCAAAACACTAGTTCCATCCTCTGACCCAGCAATCTCTAAACACCTTCTTCCTCTAATGCATATTACAGCCTCTAGTTATAGCAGTGGACACATTTCTCATGTCTATGAGTTCTGATTTATAAAGGAAATTGATGTACTATTTGGGATGACATTCAGATTTTCATACATCTTCATAGTCTTTAATAGCTCATCCATTACTTGGTAGTTTCCTCTGAAGACTGCTAGAGACAGCTGCCTGCCTTCCTGTCCACTACCAGAAAATGATTTGTCCTCTTTAGAGATGATAGTGAAGCCACCATTTTAATGAACATCAGAGCCTTGTGAAGTGCTGGCTGTGGGTAGCAGCTGAGCTGCATCCATCATATGCAAGTTCATGTCCCTGATCAAAAAAGTTTAACTTCAGATGTTAAACTGTAACAACAAATTCTGAAGACTAGACAGATGTAAAGAAATCATGAAGAACTGACTAAATTAGACCATGTTGAAAAACTGGACCTAGCAAATTGGGAAGACTTTTTCCAGCTTCCATCCACTGGATGTTATCAATAGTTTTTAACTAAACACTCTAGGTTTTGTAACCCCTTTCCAATATTTTATTTGCTTTACAGTGTGTCCAGTTTGGGCACCAACAACATTAAATTCATTGGTCGCTCTCTTGGAAGATGTCTTACTGTAAATTGTGTCCACACTAGTGTGTTGGACTGAAAGACATCTGTATAAGTTGAATCAGCCACCTGGGAGGGATCACTGAAGGATGGTGCTATGCACAAAACCAAGGCTGGTCTCCACTCTACAGCATCTACCAGGCTTTTGAAAGCCTTGGCACAGTCAATAGAAGCACATTGGTAGGAAGGAGAGGCCATACAAAGAATGTACAGTATGTCCTCCCTACTCTGCTCTCATCACTACTTGGCCAATATAGCTACATTTCAGAAGTAGCCCAATTAACTCTGGTGAATTATTTGTGTGTCCAATTGATTGTAAATTTCAAAATTTGGAATACACAACTCCATTGCCCTCCATTGAGACAGTGTTGTGTGTTATGAACTTACAGAATAGCAGTCCCTTTAAAAACCCTGGAAAATACTTCACAACACAACTACTCTACACTAATGGTACCCTACACTTATGTTAATGTTCTTTTGGATCCTTAAAATAATTGTGAAAAACATTTTACTCTAATTGCACCTACAGTATCTAATACCTGTAACTATAGTGTTTAGTTTATACAGTATGAAGGGCATTCAAGTTAAATTGGGACCTTTGAGTTTATAAAATAAAAGAACAAATTTCAAGAAGTGGAAAATGCATTTATACACTTCTCCCAGTGTTTAGAAAGATTGTCAATATGCTTGAACAATCCAAGAACAGCCTTCGCCATTAGTGCTGAAATGCTGACCTCCGAGGAACTCTTTTAGGGGTCCAAACAGGTGGAAGTCACTTGGAGCAAGGTCCAGGCTATAAGGGGGATGTGGCAATACCTCCCAGCTGAGTTGTTGTAATGTACACGTACTGCGGTGAGCGGTATGAGCTCGTGAGTTGTCCTGTGCATTAAAATTCCTGGCCTTCCCTGTTAAAACGCTCCTTCAAAGCAGTGTAGACATCAATTTCTGTACCGGTCAAAAGCGGAAAGCTGTCTTCGTAACCAGCCATGCGTTATGTGTTCGAAAATGCAGATGTTCGTGAATGACTGTGTTCACAGTTCCCACAGAAAGATTTGTTTCTTATGCAATATCAGAACAGATTATGCATCAATTATCGAAGATCAGGCGTTCTACGTGCTGAATGTTCACAGGAATTACTGCTGTGGGCTGAGAACCACCACGGCCGGGATTGTCACTGATGAACATACGACCATCTTTTAAACATTTACACCATTCAAAGTACTAGCGGAAACATGGAGGAGGTCTATAAAGAAATGGCCGCCGTCTCCAGGAATATGGCCGCAGGTGTTTCCGCCTGCAGTACTGGTAATTACACTCCCTATAAATAAGAAAGCTGTGCACCAATAGTGATACCCTGAGGAAGTCACGTGATCTAGTGACGCAACATGTAGGTATGGCGTGACGCAGCTTTCGGTACACGGTGATGCACATCCGGCGTGGACGCCATCTTAGGACACCCAATTATCCCTAACCCATGCAGTACACCTAGGCATAAGGTTGGAAAGCGATTTTTTTTCCAGCTTTTAAAATATGAGTGGGCATTTATATTAAATAAAGGAGTCGTCATGTTTAAATACTACACTATGGAGGATATCTTTTTCTCTCACCATGACCTGTGGTGAGGAGTATACTACTTACTACTACAGATATACCTATCGTGAGAGGCCTGGAGTATCATATTTACAACCTGAGGGGGGGACCACAGATGGAGTACTACTGATACCAGCCATTATCTGAGAAGGATCCAGGAGTGATCCTGAAAGCGAAGTGGCCAATTGAGTTGCTGAAAGGAGGTGAGGGAGCAATTTAGCCACTGAGGATAAGTGTGCTGACACTATCACAGTTATCACCAAGATTCTCACTTTGCATGAAAAATTGTGGTTTGAAGCACTATTGATTTGAAAACCTATGGACTATCAGAGACTTTATGATTTACTATCAATTGTTTGCATCTTTGTTTGGTCACTATAGCACTTATCACTTAGTGTGTTATTTCCCCAAGCATAGGGGACGTATGGTTTATATTTGATGTGAGTAGAATCATTTTAATTTTATAAGAGGTATTTCACTTTATAAGATTTTTATTAGTGTGATTGATTGCACTGATTTGAGGCCGTGCATATGACCTCAGCATACACTTTTTGAGGACTTTATGCACAGTATATAGATTTTGGATTCTTTCACTCATTATTTGTGGTATGTTATAACTGTATGATTTTGGATTATAATATTGATTTAATTATTTTTAGCGCTGCACTAATTTATTAGTTGGATTCAAGAACTGTGTTCTGGGTGTTTGTACCTGAGCGCATATGGCCCTAAACGTTAGTACAACTAGGCACAGTGCCAAGCTGCATTTTTCAGCCTCTCATAGACTTTAGCAGGCTGCTGGCAGCGAGCTGGATGGTGAACCTTGCACTTCTGCCTGCAGGAAAACTCCGGAATCTGAGGCAAAGGGGCTATACCCCCAGCGTGTATAAGGCCTTCAATGTTCCAGTATTTGTATCAAGGTGTTTAAAACTGCATTATGTTATGAACTGATGTATCCTTATTAGCTGGTGCAGTTAGCTTGTTTGCCAGTAGATGGCTGTGTTTCCGTTATAGTCTGGTGTAGGGTAATAGGTAATTGGGTGTTAGATCCCTTTTAGAGAGGACCTTCCTCTAGTGACGCATTAGTGTCCATACTGCCCATAGTGCTAGTGCCCATATAAGTGCCAGGAAGAGAGGAGCCTAGTCAGATGGGGCATAGGAGCCAAACACCCCAGAGCTATCCAGATGTAGTTGGCTACTGCTCAAGAGCCCTTAACAGGCCTGAAACCCAGGAGAAGTGATTCAGCACACAGTAGAAACAGCTGTATTAAGCCTAACACTCTTCTGTGGGTCCTCCAAAGTGAGTACTAATACACCTAGGTATGAGTGTGCCATCTGGGAGTGTGCCTGGCTGGGCAGAGCTATGGAAGGGGCATTGGGAGAGACTGGTATACTAATGAGGGCACCGTGATTATAATTAGTGGTGGATGCTTTTAGGACAGGGAAGGGGGTTTTCAGTGGACAGGCCTCTTTATAGCTGGAACCAGATGCCATGTTGAGGTTGATGCCTGGAGGGCTACCCCCTGGGTCCTTTTGGGCTATGCTAGGCCCCTTGGAATGGGGTCATTCTCCTGCACATGGGGTGTACCTTTGCTTGTGCCATATCCATCAATGCTCCAGGACAAAGCTAAGGCTGTATTTAAGGAATACTTGACCTTAAGGAGAACCTCTAACTTTAGAGATAGCCATACATTGTGTACACTTGAACAATAACCTGTATTCAAGTTAACTCTCTTGTCCCAGTGTCAATGTACACCATACTGTCGCTGTTGCATTTAGAAGGGACACACTGAGCCTATGCTTACTCCACCTGTCCAGCG